TTGGTAAGATAGAAGGATGTGGGATAAACAGCATCAGCAGCATCAGATGCATTTATAACTGGCTGACCAACCATACTCAATTTTTCCAGATGTTTGCACAGGTGCATATCTAAATTATCTCCCTTGACACTAAAACAGATTATTTATTTTCTTTTTCTTTACTCATAGAGTACCATTGTTGCTCTGATGCTACAATTACCAAAGCAACAGGGAACAGGCTGTTCTTTTTGTCCTTAGAATCCTCTTAGAAACTTTGGAGAATGAAGCTGCAAAAAATATCTTCACAACAAAGTAGCAACATTCCTTCCTTATAACTTAACTTTCGTTTAATTCAAAAGTGAGGGTAAGAAGAAAAGGGAAGTAATCTTACCTGGGTAGAGGTATATTTGCCATATAGCAGGCAAAAAGTTGCCTGCTATATGGGTGAAACAGAGGTTTGGTGGCAGAAGAAATGAAGAAAACATGGTGGTCAGGAGATGCACTGGACCTTATGGTCTCCATGGGTCATTGTTAGGTCAACAGCTTCAAAAATTTTAGCAAAGGGTTCTCTGCCCAATTACTGGGTGGGCGTGGCCATGGTGGGTGTGGCCTAGTCTGCCTCCTGCACCATGGCAGGGGGAGCATTTTTGCCCTCCCTGGGCTCGGGAAGCTTTCCTCAAGCCTCTGGGAGGGTGAAAACGGCCTCCCCAGGCTCCAGAGGCCTCTGAAGGCCGGAAATGGGCCCGTTTCCGGCCTTTCTGAACTTCTGGTAGGCTCTTTTTTCGCCCACTCCGAGCCACCGTACACGCCCTGCGCTTACTTGCATCCAAAATGGGCCACATGGGGACTCCTGGGAGGGGCGGGGTGGGGTGGGTGGGGCCAGCTAGGAGTGGGATTTGGGGGGTTCTCTGAACTGGACAGAATCTTAGCTAGAGGTTCTCCTGAACCCCTACGAACCAACCCCCAGCAGCCCACCCCTGGGTGTAGGTTTGTTCTCCGAGCTTGTGGGTTGGTTTCCATTTATTACCTGAGGATCACAAAACTTACAAGACCTAATAAACGAAAACCAACCCACAAGCTCGGAGAACAAACCTTCACCTTCAAAGTGGTGAGCAGCTGGGGATTTAGCCCAGCAGCCCAGGAAGAAGTGAATATACAAGATAATGACAGGCCCTTGGAGGGGAGCTTGACCATTAGCATTCACTGGCTATTAGTTTCATCTTCTATACTTCTTTGTTGCCATATCATTTATTTCAATTTGTGTTCCTTCAACCTTTGTGCAAGCCTACCTGCTCATTTCAGATGCTGAAGAAATATTTCCGTTGTAACTAACTACTGACACATCAGCAATCAAAATATTACATTTCAAGCCTTTTTAGTGCTCAAACTCTGCTTCTGCCTGATTTCCCCAAGTGCAATGTTTTGGAATTGGATAGCTGAGATTTATGCAGGCAGCCGGCTTCCTGATGACTGCATTTCTACAGAGGTTCAAGAACATAAATTAATGAAAGTCAATTGCAATTTATGTTTCTCAAATTAGTTCCAGATCCAATTGTAAAAGGAGCATGGCATGAAAGAAAAACATACATTCTAGCCAAATACAGCTCATGTTGGATGAAAGGTTGTCATTAAGCAATACTCAGGATAGGAGCGTCTAGACTGTAGTTTAAGATTGTTCATTATTTTTCTTGCGGATAATTTTGACCATTACCATAAAAGCATCGTTTACTGCAGGGGCTGGAGACCTTCAGACATGCCCAATTTACAATTCGAACCATCTCTCTCTCTCTCTCTCTCTCTCTCTGTCTCTCTCTCTCTCTCTCACACACACACACACACACACACACACATAACCTACAATACACATTCTTTTCCCTTTGTCAAGCATATGACAGAAATACATTGCAGCAGTTTTAAGAATTCATTAGGGTTTGTCTGTCTGTGCTTGGAACTCCCCCCACCCAAAAAAAAATCAGCAGCTTCCCATGATTTCATAAAGAAAGGGCCCCATGTCTGTAATAGGAATATAAGAAAATATGCATATTGGACCTCAGTCCACTTTATTTAGAGCTAATCAGGGGTGAAATTCGACTGGTTCCGACCAACTAGGGCGAACCGGTAGGGACGATTTGAATCGGTTCGCTGAACTGGTAAAAACCATCCCTGGTTGGCCACACCCACGCCCGCCCACTTGCCGCTCACCACTTCCGGCCGCTCACTCGCCCCTTCTGGCCACTCAACCCATTCAACATTAAATGGGCAGAAGAATAAAGATATAGAAAATACTATGTATCGTAGACCTGTAGGAAAGTGGGTGGAGATAGGTTAGCTTACTGACTGTTTAGTTGGGGATGTTATGTTATATTAATATATGTAAAAGATTTGAATTAAGAGATATATGCATGGGGGAGGAGGAAATGGATAGATTATGAGTTGAAATAGCCAAATTAGGATTTATTATATAATTTTACAGCTGAATGTTGTTTTGAAATGTATAGTATAAGGGGGATATAATAATATTGTTAGAAAGAAAGGGTCAGCACATGGGGGGTGGAGTAAAAAGGATGGTAAAGTATTATATAATCTGTTATTAATTTGGGTTTTATTTTGGAGAAGCCACGAGGGGAGGGGAGGGTGAGGGGGGGTTAGGGAGGAGGGGGAAAAAGGGGGGGGGGAAATCTGTATTTGAAAAACTTTTTCAATAAAAAAAAAACATTAAATGCTGCAGCAGAGAGAATCTGAACTTTTATCCCTCCATTCACAGCAGAGCTGCTGCAGCCTGTCCCTTTAAGGTACTTTGACCCCTGGGAGGGAGGGGGCTGGAGGGGGGACCATAAAGGGAGCAGCAGCTCCGCTGTGAATGGAGGGAGAAAAGCTCAGCTTCTCTGCCACAGCATTCACTATGAGCCCTTCTGGTGCTCATACACACATTTTTTCCTACCGGGTTCTGTGGGCGTGGCTTGGTGGGGGGAGTGTCATGTGTCTGAGTGGGCGTGGGCGTGGGCGTGAGTGACATCGAGTTGGTCACGCCCACTCAGTCGCAGGACCCCACCACCACCAAGCCACGCCCACAGAACCGGTAGGGAAAAAATTTGAACGTCACCACTGGAGTTAATGGTAGCAACACCTCACAGTTTCAGTCTGGAGTTTTTCCCTCCCCAAACAGGACAGTCCAGGATTAAACTTGGAGGCTCCACGCAAAGCAGTCTTTCTATAATGTTTCACTGCAGATTTTCACTTTGTGACGAAGACAGAGGAGCCTGTGTTGGGAATGAGTTTCACAAGGAGGATGGGGAAAGCATTTAGGACTCTGTGTCGTTTATTATAGCTATGGAAATCCTCTGAAAGAAAGGCCTTGAGGGCATTTAAGGGGCATGTTTCTCTTAACCATGAAAGCAGCCATGTTTTCCATAAGCTTGACATTTGTTCTAGCTATCTCTGCATGAGAGAACCATTCACAGCTACTTCGCTTCACTGGGAGAAAGGCTCTATTACAGGGGTGTCAAACTCAAGGCCTGCGGGCCGGATCGGGTCCATGGGGTGCTTAGATCTGGTCCGCAGGGCCACCCTGGAAACAGCAAAGGACTGGACCATGGTACCTCTGCCAGCGAAAACGGAGCTCGGGAGGGCCGCATGTAGCCCACCCAAGGTCCGTTTTCAGCTACGACAGCCTCCTGCAGCCCTCTGCCAGGGAAAGCGGAGCTCTGTTTTCGCTGGTAGAATGCTTGGGCCACCACAGGTGCCCCCAACATGACTGATGTCAAGCTGGCCATGCCACTCCCCCCCCGAGGTCAAGCACAACCCTGATGCGGCCGTCAATGAAATCAAGTTTGACACCCCTGCTCTATTGCAACAAAATATGTCAGATTGTAAAATATACTGTATACTTCACAAGCCATTCCAGTTCTTAATACAGTACATTCCTACTACAATGAGTATCAGTAGCCCATCTGTTTTAAACATAGTTCCCTTTCCCTCCAAAAAGGACAGACCAACAAACCAGGCATCTGAATGGCAATAGTGAAGTGTGCCCATCCCACCTCTCCATGTTTACAATAATTATGGGAGATGCGTTGGGGGCACAAAGGGAAAGAGCATGAACACTGTCCATGATCAACTTCCACCTAGTAGTAACCATGAGAAGAGTTTTGTATTAAGTTATGGGAAGGGAAGGCGAAAGGGAACAAGTTTGAGTTTGAGAAGGTGCCTTAAGAGAGTGCATTTTCATTTGTCAGGAGGACCATCATCAGTTTAGAATAAAGATTCCTTACCAGTTGTGCTAGAGCAGGGGTGTCAAACTCAATTTCATTGAGGGCTGCATCAGGGTTATGTTTGACCTGAGGGGGGGGGCATGGCCAGGGGGTATGGCCAGCTTGACTTCACTTGTGTCAGGGGCCCTCCCGAGCTTCGTTTTTCTCTGGCAGAGGCACCATGGGCAGGTCCTTCACTGTTTCCAGAGGGCCCCCGCGGACCAGATCTAAGCACCCCTCAGGCCGGATCCGGCCTGCAGGCCTTGAGTTTGACACCCCTGTGCTAGAGTGAATATCTAGGAAGTTTCAAGTAAGTTCTTCACAGCTGATGATATAGGAATATCCCCTGGATATCATTAATAAAATCAAAATGGCAGTCAGAATGGTGTGATAAAAGCGCCATATTTTTTTTTAAATGCATCTTGTGTGTACCCTGCAGACAGCTCAGTGAGGGTTGGGGGTATTACAAAATATATAGGATCTTGAATACAAAGCAAGCATTTATTGATATCCCACATAATAATGACATTTCTGTTTAGATTAAGAAATGAATTTTTATGTATCCTTATAAATGGAAATTATAGCATTTTAGTATTAATTGCCTTTATTGTTGATTAGACCCTTGGCCATATCAAAATACAGAATAAAACATAAAACTTTAGAAAAGTATTTTAGCATTAATTTTACAATATTAATCAACACTGATTTCTGTTAAATTTGATATTATATACCTGGCACTAAGATTTTTTCCTTCTTTTTTCTTGTTTTCAGACATTGATGAATGTGAAAATGACTTCTACAATGGCGGCTGTGTACATGAATGCATCAATATTCCAGGGAACTACAGATGTATGTGTTATGATGGCTTCATGTTGGCTGAAGATGGACACAACTGTCTTGGTGAGTCATTATAGTGTAGAAACCTGATGGTCATATGATATAATTTCTTATCTGTTAACTACTATTCATTCCTCCAAGGAAGCACAAAACTATTTAATTCCTCTGATAATCATCATGATCTTATTTCAGGCTTTAAACTATGGATAGTTTTCTTCAAGTATTTGGCTAATGTCATTCAGATTAAACTGTAGATCTGGAACTATGATCCAATCTATCTGAGGTAGAATCTGTATTTGTATCAGTGGTGGGATGCTGCCGGTTTAATGACCGGTTCGGTGAGCGCGCGCTTTGTACGCACAAGGTATGCACAAGGTACGCACAAGGTCTAAGGTCCTTGCACGCAGCGCTGAAAATGGAGCATTTAGAAGCTCAGCTGCTTACCTTCCAAGTCAGTAATGGTAAGTAGAAAAGTGAGGGGAGAGGGATCAGCTGTGCCACACGATTGAGATGAGCTACAAAGCAGGAAATAAAGGACAGGATAGAGTGGTGCAGGAGGGCGGGGCCAACTGATCACCGGAGCTACCGGTTCGCCTGAACCGGTACAAACCGGCTGAATACCACCTCTGATCTGTATGGAAATGAAGGTGTGAAATAGTCAGCTACAGCGCTCCAGTTGGTTCAGCAGATGCAGAATGGCCCCAGGTCCTATTCCAGGTCCAGCAGCCATGCCTCTCCTGCAGAAAACTCACGGTTATTTTACCCAAAAGGTGCAGAGGAGAGTCAGAAAAAAAATGAGAACCTTCACTGCTCAATGTCACCAGCAGAATTCCTGACCAACCAGTCATGAGTCTCCTTTGCGCTCAGTCTCCTGGCAGCCTCAATGGCACGATGGGCGCTTCTCAAAACACAATGACTCTCTTATGGATAACTATCAGAATTTCATGGCAAACTTCAAAGAACACTGAAGGAAGTTACAGGAACATGCCAGATTCAGGAACTTCGACAAGGCAATAGAAGTGTCTGGCAGTATATAGTGGAGTTCAAATTAGTCACAAAAGATTTGGGTTGGAATGAAATAGCTCTAATGGCTCAGCTCAGAAGATTCTTTAGGTCATGGGTCTCCAACAAAGCTGGCTGGGGAATTCTGGGAGTTGACGTCCACCAGGCTTAAAGTTGCCAAGGTTGGAGACCCCTGCTCTAGGTGAAACAACATTTAACACAATCACTTAAATATGAGCCAGCAGTGTGCTGCAGCTGCCAAAAAAGCCAACACAGTTCTAGGCTGCATAAACAGAGGGATAGAATCAAGATCACGTGGAGTGTTAATATCACTTTATAAGGCCTTGGTAAGGCCACACTTGGAATACTGCATCCAGTTTTGGACGCCACGATGTAAAAAAGATGTTGAGACTCTAGAAAGAGTGCAGAGAAGAGCAACAAAGATGATTAGGGGACTGGAGGCTAAAACATATGAAGAACGGTTGCAGGAAGTGGGTATGTCTAGTTTAATGAAGAGAAGGACTAGGGGAGGCATGAGAGCAGTGTTCCAATATCTCAGGGGCTGCCACAAAGAAGAGGGAGTCAAGCTATTCTCCAAAGCACCTGAAGGCAGGACAAGAAGCAATGGGTGGAAACTAATCAAGGAAAGAAGCAAGTTACAGTGGAACAACTTGCCTCCAGAAGTTGTGAATGCTCCAACACTGGAAGTTTTTAAGAAGAGATTACACAACCTTTTGTCTGAAACGGTATAGGGTTTCCTACAGGGGGTTGGACTAGAAGACCTCCAAGGTCCCTTCCAACTCTGTTATTCTATTCTATTCTACTTTAGGTCAGAGGTGGGGAGCCTTTTTTTTCTGCCAAGGGCCAGTTGGATATTTATTTATTTATTAATCAAATTTCTATACCGCCCTACTCCCGAAGGACTCAGGGCGGTGAACAGCCAAGATAAAATACAGATAATACAAATATTAAAAATCCCTTAAAATCATTAAATAATTTGGCCGAAACACAGATTAAAACACCCAATTTATAAAATCATGAATTAAAATTTAAAAGAGGAGAGTTAGGCCAGGCCAGCCTGCTGAAATAAAAAAGTTTTGAGAGCACGACGAAATGTGTGCAGGTCCAGAATCCTCCGTATCTCTGGGGGGAGCTCATTCCAGATGGTAGATATTTATAACATCATTCACAGGCCATACAAAACTATCAATTTAAAAATTAGCCTGCTATAAAATCTTACATGAGGAGAAGATTTTAACGAGAAAGTTCCTTTTGAAGTATCTTTAAGGTGGTTTTTTTTAAGGATTTAAGTAGTTAGATTTCTGTATGTGGTGGATCTGTCTCATTCTTTAAAAGGACGAGTAAAATAGAAACGTGTATCCTTCTTCACCTTTTCTGCTTATTGTATAAAGACTCGTATTGTTAAAAAACACACACACCAGGAGTATCATAAGCAAAATCTGCAAATATTTTGGCAGGTTTGGATGATCCAACATTTTGCCCATTCTTTTGTGAATAATTTCCTCAGTAGAATAATACTCTGCAGTACAATTTTCTTGTTAGGGACTGTGTATAGTGATGTTACAAAGGCAACTGCAGAAGGATAATAATGTTTGTAACCAGAAAAAACAGAAATGTCATTTCCATTTAAATTTGTGGAGATGAGGTTGATTTATTGCTCACTACGGTTTCTTATTTAGTTGATCTTTTTTTCCTTCTATTCAGATGGAATGAGTTTTATTTTACCTTCTTTGGTTGAGATTCCTTGGCTATACATTTATATTGGATATAGTCCATGTCTGCCCTCGGGGGAAGTCATTTTTTATCTGACGTTTTTATTGAACAATTTCACAAATATGATATGAAATGACACTATGGGGTTTTCAAACCATGGTGAGATTCTCATCTGGTTAAATATAATCCGTTTTAACATTGTAATTGCTTGAAACAGCGCAAGTTCCTTCTGAAGATTATTATTTGATGTTCAGTTCAGGCAACACAGGATTAATATTTAACTTTGAGAAATGAAGAGTCCTCAAGGCCTTAATTTGAAACCAGTAAGTGAAATAAATTTTCTGTTCCTGGGCAGATAGCCTCAAAATCCAAATGTCACCACAATATAAAAAAGATGTAGAAGGAGTTCAGAGAAGAACAACAAAAATGCTTAGGGGGCTGGAGGCTAAAGCATATGAAGAACGGTTGCAGGAATTGGGTATGTCTAGTTTAGTTTAGAGAAAAGAAAGACTAGGGGAGATATGATAGCAATGTTCCAGTATTTGAGGGGCTGCCACAAAGATGAGAGGGGCAAATTATTTTCCAAAGCACCAGAAGGCCAAACAAGAAGCAATGAATCTATATATATAAAAGCGAAAACCACTCATGCCGTAATCACGAAATCTCCAGAACTGTAAAGCCTACAAACTTGAAATTTGCCACATATTTTCCTCTTGGCTTTTAGGTGCTCACTAAGAAAGGATTTTTCGAAATGACCATCAGAGCATTAGTATTTCCTATATTATGATTAACACGCTCTGATGCTAAGGAGTTCTACTCCCCCCTCCCCACCTGAAAAGAAATCTGTTCTAAATGCAAAACACAAGCAGAGGAGAGGAGTTTCGCTTTCAGTTTTACTTTCACAGCAGCAACCAGGGGTTAAGATAGGAGACGTTTCTGTGCGGCAAGGCTGAGGGAGAGAAGGGGGATAGGATAGGATAGGATAGGATAGGATAGGATAGGATAGGGTTCTGTAGGGTAAGGCCGAGAGAGAGAAGGGGAGAGGAGAGGTCGATCGTAACTACTCATTAATTTTCAAGCTGTAAGTGTCGATTTATCAAGCCCGATCACATAGTTTCGTAGCGAAGCATGGGTATCCAGCTAGTAGAAAGAGAAACAACCTAGAACTAAGGAGAAATTTCCTAATGGAAATTTAACAATCAACCAGTGGAACAGCTTGCCTTCAGAAGTTGTGGAGACTTTCAAGAAGAGACTGAATATTATTATTAAGGATAAAGAAGAGGCTGAATATTTTTTGATGTGGGATGTATTTTATCTATGGTTAGACAATAGAAACAGAAATTAGAAAGGAGGAGAAATAAAAAGAGGAAATGTTAATGTGGAGAGAATTTAAAGATGATGAAGTTATGTATTATTGTTATTATACTATTATATAGTTATATTATTAATACTATTGTGATGAATATAATAACCAATATGTGGATTATGACTATTCAAATAACTGTACCCAGATCACACACTGTTTGATAGAAATGGAAAATAATATAAACAAAACAAATAAAACTTTATGTGTGTGTGTGTGTGTGTGTGTGTGTGTGTGTGTGTGTGTGTGTGTGTATGAGACAGGACAGCCATTTGTCTGAAATGTATAGACTTTCCTGCTTGAGCAGGGGGTTAGACTAGATGACCGCCAATGTCCCTTCCAACTCTGTTATACTATGTTTTTCTGTGGATAAGGGAAATATTTTCTTACAAGCTCCAGGCAGATTTGCTTGGAGAAAAATAATCCACAGAGACTGATTTCTGAGTGGAGTAAATTTGCAGAGAATCAAGGCAGAACAGCAGTAAATTTCTGTTTTACTAGTACCAATGTGTGTTTCCATCTTATTCTTCAAAAACATATCAGTACAAGGTAAAAGTGCCATCAGAGAATTTAAAAAAGGCTTGACTTCTGATTATGCCCTGATTAGTGTCCACTGGATTTCCTCAACCACTGTTTGGGAGTGGTTGGCCATCTTTTTCTTTTAGAATGTTCTTCTGACTTGTCAGCCTAATTTTCATTCCTTATGTTATATTCTGGGTGAAGAATGGAGGTGAGGAGAAAGTGATTTCTAACAGCTCTTTATTCAATACTGCCTGTGAGGCAACTGTTGTTCCTGGCTGACACAGCTCCTTTTATAGGGAAGCTGATCAGCCCACAACCAATCAGGAGAAAGTATTTTCCCGCTCCAACAGAGGATCAGACTGAGAACTTCAACTGACAACTATATACAATACATAACACCTTACTCTCCCAAGAGATCTCTCATCCAAACTAAATCCTGACC